GGTCACGTAGAAAGAAAATTAGAGAGACAAAGGCACACTTTGAACTCAATCTAGCCACTTCTGTTAGGGATAACAAAAAGTGCTTCTACAAATACATTAATAACAAAAGGAGGGGCAAGGAAAACCTCCATTCTTTGTTGGACATGGGGGGAATGTAATCACTGGAACCTGGATTACACATAATCTTGTAATGGTTCTATTCCACCCAGTCTGGTGTGAAACTCACCCCTGTTTTTACACTGATTTTCTTCTTGGAAAACTATCCAAAACCAAAATGAACTGTAACAGGAGATTATCACAGCTGCATTGAAGGAATGCAGCAGAATTAAATTAAAAAAAAAAAAAGGAGAAAGAAAAAAGTGCAGCATCCTTGATGTCCAGCGAATATAGATCCTGCCAAATTTTATACAACACTGCTACAAGCAAAAAATACTACTGCACCATGGTGGTGGCTGCCCTAGTGACATTTCCAAGGTAAATAATTATGTAGTGATTCATCCAATAAAAAAAGATAGAGGGAAAAAGTACAACTAATCATTAATTTTTCGAAACCCTGAAGAATTAATAATTCCGTTAAACAGGAGAACCTCCTGCTATAAGTGAAGTTTGGAGGAACAGATGGCATTTCACTAATTGGCTAATTTTAATGTGGATTTTCAGAGATGCTGTTCTGATGCTTCTCTGCCTCTTCATGCTGTGCTCCTTCTTAATGTGTTTGCATTTCTTGTATTACCTTTCTCATTACTGCCACGCTCATGTTTGGGACACTGAAAGTGATATTTAAATAAGGTTGCAGGCAAGCCATCTGTGTGCATTTGAAAAATTGTGCTCTCATAAGTTTCCATGGTGTTTTGGAAAGACTGCTGGAATTTACTTCAGGAGAGTAGAGGAACAAGTAATTCCTGTGTACTGAATTTTCTCAATGGACAGACCACCCAAGTGTTAATAGCAGAAAGGGAAATAATATAAATGAGTAAAACAGAAGATTTTATTTCAGTTCTGATTCTATTTCACTCTTCTTTCGTAGAATCATAGAATCATAAAAGTTGGAAGAGACTTTTACGATCATCAAGTCCGACTGTCAATGCAGCACTACCACTGTAACCCCTAAAACATATCACCCAGAGACAGATGCATACACCTCCAGGGATGGTGACCCCACCACCTCCCTGGACAACCTATTCCAATGCCTGACCACCCCAACACTGAAAATTTTTTTCTAACATCTAATCTGAATCTCTTGTCTCAGATTAGGGCCATTTCCTCAATTCCTCTCACTGCAGGCACAGCAGAAGAGACCAACCTCTCAGGTAGCTGTAGAGAAAGATGAACTCCCCACTGAGCCTCCTCTTCTCAAGACTAAACAAACCCAGCTTCCTCAGCTGATCCTCATAGGACATGTTTTCTAGGCCCTTCACACACCTTTTTGAGCTTTGCTGAACACCCTTCAGCACCTCAATGTCCTTTTTTAAGTGAGGGACCCAGAACTGAATGCAATACTCAAGGGGTGGCCTCACTGAATATGGGGAATGATCACTTCCCTAGTTCAGCTGGCCACACTATTTCTAATACAGGCCAAGATGCAATTGGCCTTCCTGGCTACCTGGGCACGCTGCTGTCTGACACTGAGCTGGCTGTCAACCAGCAGCCCCAAGTTCCTTTCTTTCTTGAGCCACTCCTCCCTCAACGTGTAGCACTGCATGGGGTTGCTGTGACCCAAGTGCAGGACAAGGCACTTCCCCTTATTGAACCTCATGCAGTTGGCCCATTGATTGAGCCTGTCCAGGTCTCTCTGTAGTTCCTTGCTATCCTCAAGCAGATCAATATTCTTACCCAATTTAGTGTCGTCTGCAAGTTTACTGGGGTGAACTCAATCCCCACGTCCAGACCATCAATAAAGATGCTAAACAGGACTGGCCCCAAAACTGAGACGTGGGGAACACCTCTAGCGACTGGTCGCCAACTGGATTTAGCTCCATTCATCACAACTCTCTGAGCACAACCATCCAGACAGTCTTTTACCCACTGAAGAGTCCATCCATCAAAGCCATGAGCACCCAATTTTTCTAGGAGGATGCTGTGGGAGACATTGCCTTACTGAAGTCTAGATAGGCAACATCCACAGCCTTTCTCTTATCCACTAAGCAGGTCACTTTGTCATAGATGGAGATCAGGTTGGTCAAGAATGATCTGCCTTTCATGAAACCATGCTGGCTGATCCTACATGTGCTGTGTAATGGCACTCAGGATGATCTCTTCCAAAACCTTGCCCACAACTGAGATTAGGCTGACAGGCCTGTAGTTCCTTGGATCATCCTTCTGACCCTTTTTGTGTTACACTTCCTAACTTCCAGTCAGCTGGAACTTCTCCAGTTAACTAGGACTGCTGGTAGATGATTGAGACTGGTTTGGCAGTCTCAATTTCCCTCATTACTCTGGGGTGATTCCCATCAGGGCCCATAAACTTTCAGCTATGTGCCAGCTTCCCTTCCACGCATGGCAATGATGTTCAGTCCTCTCTGGGGGACTCTGCTGACTATGTGTAGCTCTAACAGCATAGGTTTTTCTGTCAGGGTCTCACCCTAAAAAAGAGTTAAACTGTTAGTCATTGGAAGATAGAATTTGAGAAATTGGACATAGAGAAAAAAGATGTTAAGAAAAGCCTTTGGTTTAAGCCTGTAAGCACATGCTGATGTTGGTAAAGCAAGGTGATGAAAGAGTCCAGGATGATGACCCAGAACAGTATCATGCATGTGTGACTTTTTACTTACAAACTCCTCTGTGTGAGATACCTTGAATTTTCACATGTGTAAGCAAAGCTCCAGGGAGAGTTAAAGGATCTCTGAATGCATGGATCTGTGTGTCTGGATATATACAGAGACTTTTTTTCTCCATAGCGTTGTCTTGGGTCTAGAGCTGTTCTGCAGGAGAGCTTCAAATTACAATGACAGGTAATGCAGGTGGTCAGGGTGCTCAGAACTGGACAAATCTCAGGGACAAGAATGAAGTTTTCTTTCTAAAGGCAGGTTGCTCAGTTAGTCTAAAGACCATTAAGGTATCTGACTTGAACACTTGAACACTGACTGTGTTCAAGATAGGACTGTGTAATCACTCTTTCCTGTAATTTTTTTTAATTATTATAAGAATTATACAAGAATTAATTTGTAGCCAAAAAGCAAGAACTTTAACTTTTCTTAGCACACAGAAAGCTCTGCGAAAGCATCACACACTTCAGTATCAATGATGATGATCTAATTCATAAAGGAGGAAAAAAGGACAGGGAACAAGGAGGCAATTCTGGTGGAGGTCCCGCAGCCCTGTCAGGCACAGAACCTGGTAGCACATCATACAAAAATAGTACTAGTATCAGAAATTATACTACTTCACACCAAACCTGCTCCTGAGAAAGTAATCTGAGGAGTAAGAACTGCCTTCAGATGGTTTATTTCTAAAACATCTAAACATTTCTAAAACGCACTGCTGGGTTTGAACAGTGAAACCTGTGAAACCTGAATTTATATGAAAAACAGCAACATAATTCTGCTTGACAACAGGGCAGTCACATGAGTGTAGCTGTCTGGGAAGTTTTTATTTCTGAGGATGGGGATTGTATCTTCTGGGTGTGGTCTCTGAAAGCCCTGTGATGTCACCAAGGAGTCATTGTGACACCTGTGACAACAAGCCTTTTGGAGGCATAGGGCAGCCCTGAAGGGCCACAGTGTCTGGCCTCCTCCAACAGAAACAGACACCTGCACGTGGGGTGACAAAGGACACCCATCCCGCTAGGTGCCTTCTGAGGGCACAGAGAGAATTTGCTAGACAAGGACACTGGCAGGGCCCGGGGCACATCTGTGCCTCCTTGGGGAGTAGTGAACACCATCGGGGGGGCACTGGGCTTCTTCTGTCAAATCTCAGGGGACAAGGAGCCTAACCCAGTCAGGTCTGACAGCATTCAGTGCCAAACACTACAGGAGAAGCTAAGGAGGATGGATCACAATGTGGGCCAAACCCTGAGGGCTGAACAGGACTCCTCAGGGAGGAGCCAGCGCGGTCAGCGGGGGCGCCGAGTTGCTTTCATTGAACTGCAGGGGACAAGGAGCAGATCCCCACCGAGGTCCTGCAGTGCCAAACACTGTGGGAGAAGCTAAGGAAGAGGGAACGTGATGAGGGACAAGCCCTAAGACTCGAACGGGACGTCCCAACCTCCTCAGGGTGGAGTAAGCGCCGCCAGCGGGGCCACCAGGTTTCTTTCACTGAATCACAGGTGACAAGGAACTGAACCCCGTGGAGGTGCCACAGCCCTGCTGAGCACAGGGCCTTGTAGCACGCCCTACCAAGAAGGGTACTACTGTATACTTTGTTATTAGTGTCAGGAATGATACTACTTTACACAAAAACAGCTCCTACTAAAAATTGCAAAAATAAAGTCAAATCTAATGCTCAAGATTGGGGCTAAGAATTTATTCTCCGTCACAAAATCCATCAGAAAATCCTAAAGAGACCCGTGCAAGGCCTTTTTAGGTTAAGAGTATAACAGCTGTGAAACCTGAGTCCTGGTTTTGTCATCCTGTTTTATGTAACGTTTGTCTATAAAATGCATTACTGAACATTTTGTGTGGTCATGCCTTTGCTCCCTGTATTGCATTTCCACAGTATGATCAACTTTTTCTCCTTCCTGCCCTGGTACCAATGACCCCAATGGCTTATAAGAATTTCTCTTATCCTTCCACATCATCTGCTTTCTCATGCTTTACTCCAAATATCCCCCAGAATAACTTCTCCTGTTACTTACCACTCTTCTCACAAGGTGGCAGTGAAAAGTGAAGTAGATTTACAATTACTTTGTCTCAAAGGCACTGCCTTTAATGCCAATCCTAATCTAATGCTTGGTAGCAAGCCTCTGAAAACCTTATTTTCTTCTCCTTTTTCCTTAGAGTCTTTATAAACAACCTCAAAGACTTCATAGAGAAATTTTTCCCCATGGTATGCCCCGTGCAGAGCCTCACATTTAATGCCCACACTGACAGTACCTGCTACAGGCTTTTCAGATCATGGCCAAAGACTACTGAAGTCACTGAAAAACAGTGGTGTACGAAGCACACTGTTACTTTCAAGTAAGACTGGTGCAAAGAGGAGCTTTCTCAAAAGACAGAGGTGATACAATACATTAATTATTGGATCAAGACAAACTGTATTCAATTTTTGTATTTAACTACAGTCGGCCTCTACTCTGTACACTCCTTGTGACACTATATGACTGGGACCACCACAGAACAGAAGCACTAAGACACTGCTGTGAAGGAATTCAGAAGAAGATCAAACTGCCAACTTGCTGACTCACAGCACTGAACGTGCAGCAAGTTGCTATAAGTTGTGGCCTGCCAACCAACTGGGAAATGTCCAGTCACCTGCAACACACGCTATGAAAACAGAACTAATGCTTTTAGAGAGATGTTTCACTTATCGCAGCCCTTATGTTTTTGTTTTTCTTATTAGTTTTCTGTGCAGTCCTGATGAAAAAAAAAAAAAAAAAGATTTGGAGGCTTCATGGATGCCTTCATGAGGCAAACCTGACTCTTCATGAACATACAGGACCATTCAAACCTTCCCATATCAGGCAACCTGGAGGTACTTTCTGAGCTTGCATGAGAGTGTTTTGAGTCACAGAACCACAGAACGAGTAAGGTGGGAAAGTACCTCCAGAGGTCATCTGGTCCAACCTTCCCTGCTCAAGCAAAGTCACTGAGAGATGGTGGCCCAGGACCATAGCCATGCACCTTTTGAGTATCATCTCCAAGGAGGGAGTCTCCACAAGCCCTGGACATCCTCTGCCAGTGCTTGGTCACTCTCACTGTAAAAAAAGGGTTTTCTGATCTTCTGAGGGAAGCTTCCATGTTTCAGTTTATGCCCATTGTCGCATGGCATAAACTGAAAAGAGCCCCTGAAAAGAGCCTGGCTTAGCCTCTGCACCTCTACTTCAGCTATTGATATATGTTGGAATAAATCCTCTCCAGAGTCTTTTCCAGGTTGAACAGCCTGGAGGAAACACTCTCAGCCCTTTCTTGTAGGAGATGCTCTACTCCCTTCATTGTCTTTGTGGACTTTTGCTGGTTGCTCTCCAGTTTGTCCACCTCTCCTTGTACTGGGGACCCCAATAGTAGTTAGAGTACTCCAGGTACTCACCAGCACTAATCAGAGGGGCAGGATCACTTCCCTTGACCTGCAAAATCCACTGAGGAGTACAAAATGCCTTGAGATGGCTTATTTCTAAAACAGAACATAGTGCTGGTTATGAATGATGAAACCTGTGAATTTATATTAAAAATAGGGCCAAAAATATTTTTTTTAATGTATCTTCTTGAATACAAAATACTGACAACCTGTGGTGGTGTAATTTATTCACTAGCTTCCTTCCTGCTCTACAAATGCATGCAGAACCACAGAGAAGCAGTGCTGGCATACTGAGAAAGCACAAAAATTGTTCTCTGGCTAGATTTCAGTGAGACTGATGGCCAGACTGCAGACAAAGCTGAACTGGGAAAAAAAAATTTCTTTTTCTTTTTCTCTTTTTCTTTTTCTTTTTCTTTTTTTCTTTTTCTTTTTCTTTTTCTTTTTCTTTTTCTTTTTCTTTTTCTTTTTCTTTTTCTTTTTCTTTTTCTTTTTTCTTTTTCTTTTTCTTTTTCTTTCTCTTTTTCTTTTTCTTTTTCTTTTTCAATCTTTTTCTTCAAGCCCTTGAAAATTTTGTTTAGTGCTGCTCGGTACTCATGTTGTTCTGAAGGGATTCAGTTATATTGCCCGTGAAAGCATTAAGGATGCTGTCAAGATACAGCCCTAGAGCAATGCCAGTCTGGGCAATAGTATTTGTCTTTATTCAGAGAAGTCAAGCTCTGTATCAGAAGCAGCTGTAGAAACCTTTGTAGTTAAGTGTACATCTACACATGTGACAGCTGTCTCCAGGGGACTGCTGTAAAGATGTGTGCAAGTCATTATCTGATCAAGGAAGTGAATGCCTTTGTTTCTGTCTCTTTTTTCTGGAAAAAAAATAGAATTCTTTGTCTCTGAATTTTATATCCATTAGAGCAGAATTTATCAACTGTTCATATGTGTATAGCATCTTTCAATTTTGCTGCAACTACTAAGAAAACATAATACTGCTGTGTCATGGTTTAACCCCAGACAGCAATTATGTACCATGCAGCCATTCACTTACCCTGCATCTTCCCCTCCCTCATATTGGTGGGATGGGGAGGAGAATCAGGAAAAGATAAAACCCGTGGGTTGAGATAAGAACAGTTTAATAATTCAAATGATAATAAAGCCACAACCATAATAACAATACTAATAGTAATGAAAACAGAGACAGCAAAAAAGAGAGAGAGGAATAAAACCCAATAAAGAGAAATGATGCACAATGCAATTGCTCACTACCTGCTGACCGATGCCCATCCAGTCCCTGAGCAGCAATCGGCATCTCCCAGCCAAGTCCCCTCAGTATATAGACAGAATGTGATGTTCCATAGTATGGAATATCCCTTTGTCCAGCTTGGATCAGGTATCATGGCTATGCTGCCTATCACCTTTTTGTGCAGCTCCTCATTGGCAGAGCATGCAGACACTGAAATGTCCTTGACTTTATGCCAGCACTGCTCAGCAACAGCGTCTGTGTGTTATCAACATCATTCTCACAATAAATCCAAAACATCCCAGAGGAAACCAGGACACACTATAACAGTATGGAACAAGTCATGTCAAATTGTAATTGTTGAAAAATAAAACTGTTCCTGACTCTTCGCTGAACAAACAGTCTTCTCTGGATATCAGTATGCCTCCCTCAGGCTGACCTGCTCTCCTGTAATCCACTCCGCTCCTCACAGGGTTAGGTAATTGGACAGAATTGTCAAAGATGCAGTAAAAATTTGGACCATTCTAAGAATGAGATAAGGAAGGAAGCACCATTTTTTTCCTTGTTAATTTGATTTCCAGGGCTGATGTTCACCCTGAATAGGATGAGCCTTTGGTCAGAGCCTGAGCCAGGACCACTTAACCCTGGCTGGAGTGGAGTGTCCCTTTGAGTTGTAAGGGCTGGCTCCCCACTTCCTGTGTTTTGCACTGACCTAGGCTCCAGGTCTGTTGTGTTAAAGCACCTTTTGGAGTTTGGGGAGTGGTGTCTCTGGCAGTGTAGGCAGAGCTAAGAGACCGAGAGGCATCCCAAACCATACATCACATTGGTCAGGTCTTCTTTCTTTATTCAAATATACTTTCAAATCATCTGCTTTCAACACACAGAGAAATGCTTTGTGAGTCATCAGTTGTCCTTTTTTTCCCCACAAGGCTGCTTCTCTTGCTCCTGTATTCAGAAACAAATGGGCTGCCAGTAGTATAACTTTGTCATCATTGATGTATTCAATACCAGACATGCGGGTAAGGTTTTTTGAAAGTGCTTAGGAAAGCTGTGAGTCAAGTTCTATTGATTCACAGGAAAGTTGGGTGAATTATATATGGGTGCTTATGAAAAGCCCACTTATGGACTAGAAAACTGATTTATGTTCATAAAACTCTACTCTTTGCAGACACAATATAACTTAAAAGAGCATCTTAATGGAGTCTAGCTAGAACCTGAAATCAATATTTCATTTCTCTTAAAGAGAGCCTTTGCTTTCTAAAAGACACAAAAAAATAGTGCCTAGAATAAGGAAGCAAGAGGTTCTGCCTGATAACGTCATGCAATCCTTCATCCACTAGAATTACCATGTGACACCACTCATTTTCTTTACTTTGCACTTTACAGTGTGCTTCCTTTTGATACCAACAAATTCCTGTTCATAATTAAGCACCTGATTTAAACTTAGAGGTACACAATTTTGTGTATTAATTTACCTACAGGTCCTTGTATTAACAGTGGAAATTTAGATTGGCTTGCTCCATGGTCAGCTTGATGTGTTCACCTCTTAGCTCTCCTGTGATCCATGAGAACAATTGTCATCTACAGAAGATGGCAGGTAACCATGTATTTTGTATTCATGTGGGGAGGTGTATGTAAGACTGGTTAAAATGAGGAATAATAAAGGAAATGTGACCAATGCTTTGAACATTATTGTGCAATAAGACTCCTTGTGGATTAGGTATCATCTCACACTTTCTCTCTATTCCTATTTTGACTTGGCTAGGCATAGGAAACCCGTATGTCCTAGATTCTTCCCCCTTTTTACTATTCACCTTTACTTGCCAGATACATACTTCTTGAAATTATTATTGTGCCTGCTTTTAGAAATTCTTGTCCTAAGAAGGAGTGAGATTGATTTCAACATAAATGTAGTGTCCATCCATCTAAGCTTAGTGTGAGTCTGGGAAAGAAGATGAACATGCATGCAAAATCCACAGTGATTTATAAAGTTCTGAGTGTGATCTGAGAGATTGGAATTGTTTATTATGTGAGCCTGAGGCACAAAAAATTGTTTAAGATTATAACCATTCAGAAAAAATTCTTTTCTTGCAGGATTTCATTTTTCAAGTGAAATGAAACTTTTCACAAAATGAACTGTATGGAATAAGTTACTAAAAAAAGAATAATATTTTCTGAGCCTGGAGTAGTACTTTGTTCCCCTTGCAATTTCTTATGTTAAATCCCATACATGCAATTCTCACAATGGTAACAGGATATGGGGATTTAACTTCTTTTTCCTTTTTTTCAATAAATAAAGCTCCTTACTTTAGAAGAGGTATAGAGAGTCCTTCAAAATGGTTAATACAGGCTTATTGATTACCAGTAAACATTGTAATATACCGATATCTTTCCAAACAGTTACTTATAGCTACATTTCTATTTCCTTTAGATTCCACAGAGGCACAAGCATTACATTTCAAGCTGTGATTTTTATTTTTAGAATGGCAGTAAGTTTCATTAGCAGTTTCTCCAGACTGGCTGTCATTCTGCCTGAGCTGAAAGGAACTGAACAAATGAAGTCATTCCACTCATTAGTTTCTTTACCTGTGCATCATTTAAAATGGTACTGGTTTGTTGAGCTTTATTTAGCTTGACTGCAGCTTGCACTCAATATAGCTGCAATGGAAAGAAAGGAATAAATGTAATGTTTCAAAATTAAAGCAGCATTCA